TTGAAGCTCGTATTAAAGTGTCACTTTTAATCCCTGAGTAATTAAATATCTATATAAACATTCACTTTAATACTTTGGCATATACTATTTTCTTTTCCATTGAGTAAAAGTGCTCTTTTAATTCTCAGTTTCATGCACTTAAGTTTCACTTTTAATCTATGAAGAATTAAAAATCGGAGGTATTTAAAAAATGCGTACGAGATTGCATGCTATTGATAGAAAGCGCTCTTTTAATTCCAAGTTTCAAGGACTAAAGCGCCAGTTTTAATATGTAAGGAATTAAATATCCATTTAAAAAATGCACTTTAGTTTGTTGATATATAACAAAATGTACTATTTGAAGGAGCAAAATGTGACATATACTCAATGTGCTATTTCTAACGAACATACATAAGTCATGGTGACTAAACAAATCTCACCCTCGGGTTTAAAAGATGCACTTTAGTTATAAATAGCATACTACTATGATCGTGTTTCTTAGCTGGGGTTGTAGCGCTGTTGCCAAATTGTCCCAAATATCGTTTTACTTTATTACCTCTTATTACATCAGTTCCACTAATTATATTGGACCTTTTTGCTTCCTCCCATTGATGATTGGTCTTGATGGAAATTTTTCTCGGTTTGGCAACCGCTTATATTTTTGTCTTCATACAACGGACTTTGTAAAATCATTCGCTGTTCGATGTGGCCTCTTACGGCTACACCTCGTTTCGGGGGATAACCCACGAAGCGGCAAAACAATAAAGGCGATAAGCGGCAGAGAATCAATTTTAGAGGGATGTTTTCACTTTCTGGCGAAAAAACCGTGGCCGCCTCGCCGCATATCGGATTAGCTCGTGTGTGTGAGTGCGACGGCAGGGCTGAGTGCCGGAGCGGACCTACAGGGACGTGCCCCGTCGAGGACGAGCTCGCGTTTCCAATTAGTCACCATCGAGGGCCCCGAGCACTCCGGGTTCCGGAGTTACACAATCGTTTTTCCTGCGCTCCGGGGCGGGTCTCACGGAACAAGGGGACAAAGGGACTCTTATCAAATATAAAATCCCAGATTAATTTTTTTAAGTGACCGCCGACGTGTACGGGAGCGGATCGAAGGGGGATTTGATTTGATTAGGTGGACTAAAGGTCAAATTGATGTTTGTTTAAGTTTATCGAACGATTAAAATGTTCTTTGTCCACATATTTGCTCGAGGCTGAAGGTCCTGAATAAATGTTTGACAATTAGAACAATATTTTTTTGGTCCGAATACTACGGGTGTTATACATATTGTATAGGGTGTTCCGAAATTAACCTGCATATATTACTGTGCAAAACCATACTTATCGTATCAACTTCGACGTCGCCTGTTACATGGGTGTTGTATAATAATGAAAACGTAATATTGACAGTTGGTAGAAGGAAGCGCAAAAACAAGCGCTTAGGTGGGGAATTCTGGAAGGAAGCCTAAATAGTTGGAAGTGAAAACAGTGTGGAAATGGGAGGAAGACGTTCGGCGGGCAGTGTGGTAAAATAGTGAAAAATCAAAGTGTTTAACCCATATTAATTAGCAGGTAATATTCTCTAAGTACTTTGTTGTTAATTGTTCTATGTAATCTTATGATTGTGATGGTTATAGATGATAATAATTCTTTGTATGCTTTATGCTCAAGGGCATATATTTTTCTAAGGTAAAATTGTTACAATTATTATTTCCTTTGTTTTACATTTAACTTGCTTTGATTACATTGTTCGAAAAACAACTAATAAAGCGTTTCTTGTGCTCTCTTTATGTCATACGCCTATAAGAGAATTGTTGAATTTACTAACATTTTCGCCCTTGAGTGACTTTTGACACTATTCTGAGTATATAAAACCAATTTAGAATTGACTTTTTCTCTAATATGATTTAAATTTAATTATTATTGAGTAATTTTTACTCAGACTTGGTTTTTAATGAACTAAATATTGAGATCAAAAATAAATCACTCATAAATGATTAATTAGGATATACACTACAGTTTTGAAATTAATTAGACGCTATACAGCGTGTTCTGCAAATGATGAACTTTCAAATTAGGAGAGATATTGTAAAAATAATGTTTCATATCTACATTTCGTTTTTGATAGTGTATATTAACCCTTGAACAGATGAAAATCGGTATTCTGTAATAACATTTTTGTAATTTATTAAATTTGTATAATTTTTGGGTAAAAGCCATGTTATTTGAAGTTAGGTCTACTAATGTGTTACAATTTATTTAATAAATGTAGGTCTCGATTGGTTCACTGATCGGATAAATAAATTGCCATAACCTATATTNTAATCCGAATTTCCAACTAAGTCCATTTTATAGAAAATCTCCGTCAGAATGGGAGAAAGCCTGTTAGTGCACAGTACAGGCCCCCTCTGGAAAGTTGATTACCACATACTTTATAACTCCTGAGGAGCTTCGTTTTGATGAGTCTACCACATTTTTCCTCTGCGACTTTTCTCGATTCTTCCGCTTTTCCACTCGGAAAAGTCCAAAAACATGGCAATTTCCCGGGGTCTTGGAAAACTCTAGACCACATCTTTTATTTTTAGCTGAAGTAACTGGAAATTTCGTTGCAAATGCCGATTGAAATTTCTCCGACAGAAATTCTTCCGACATTGACGTGTCTACCGGTCGAAACATGCCAAAATAACAGGGTATTGAAAATCAATTACCACATAGGTAATTTTTAGTAAAATTAATTGTAAATAATTAATTCAGTCAAAAAGTATTGTTGTCCGACAAATTTCAAGCCGCGTTTTTTCAGTCCGACTGACAGCTGGAAATCGGAATTTTCACGGGGTATGAAAAATCGATTACCACATATCTAATTTTCATTTTTTCCTTTTAAATTTACTGTACAAAATAGTGATAAAGTGTCCGAGGATTTAATGTCCGCAAATTATTAATAAATCAATAAACCAATAAACGTGATGAAATTTAATTTTTTCACTCCAAAAATTTCATATTTATAAATGGTTAATAATTATTATTATTTAAATTATTATTTGCCTCAAATAAATAATTATAATATTGCTTATTTTATGCTTAAAAATTTAAAAGTTATAAACAAATGAAGTTATTTTTGAGGCGATTAATACGATCTTAGTGCATAATGCATTATTTCTAAATAAATTAATATTATACTTGATATAAAAATCCTTTTTACTCTTTCAAGTTTTCATTCGCGTTTGTTATTTTTCTTTACAAAAATTTTCCTATTTTTCTAAAAGAAAATCCCAAAATTTTTGTGCATATTTCTTTTACACCATACATACTTTTTTGAAATTGTTTAATTCTTTTCTCGATATTTATTTGGCTAAATTTACAATTACAAGAATAAAACGAAAAATATATACAGGGTGTTTCAGAAAGACCTCCCGTAAATAAAGGGGGTGATAGTACGACAAAAATTGAGAATTTTTTGTCTTATGAACTCTACGTCTGTCTCCTCTTGTTTTCGAGATACAGAGAGACAAAATAAAATTTTTTAAATAACATTTTTATGAAAATTTCCAAATGGTGGGAAATATTTTTTATGAAATTTAGTAGTCCGAGGTTTTTAAGTGTGCCAAATACGCTAGTCTAATTATTTTTGGTATATTTCATAGAGGGCGCTAGTTATGCTACATTCTTATTACAATTTAAGTTATATTTTTTTTAAGGTTAGATTTTTTACCAGTCGGGCTCCAATTTCTATTGTACAATTTTATTTTCTAAAAATAATGTACTCTTGAACTTGATAGAACTTCCTAATGTGGACGATTTTCGAGAAAAAAGGCTTTTAATTAAACTCTTCTAAAGAGAAGATAGACATAGAGTTCATATGACAAAAAATTCTTATTTTTTGTCGTCCTCACCCCCTGTATTTACGGTAGGTCTTTCTGAAACACCCTGTATTGTATATTTATGTGGAATTTTGCTTAATACATGAAAACACCTTATTAGAAATTATAAATACATGTGCAAATTTTTTACGAAATTTTTTTCATCTTTTTTTGTCGGACTGACGATTTGCGGATACATTTTTGTCGGACATTGCAATTTTTGCTTATAAAAAGCACTTTTCTATCGTGTGTTAGTTTTGTCCGACATGTGGTAATCGATTTTTTTCATACCCCGTGAAAATTCCGATTTCCAGCTGTCGGATTGAAAAAACGCGGCTTGAAATTTGTCGGACAACAATACTTTTCGACTGAATTAATTATTTACAATTGATTTTACTAAAAATTACCTCGTATGTGGTAATTGATTTTCGAAACCGGGTTATTTTGGCATGTTTCGATCGGTAGACACGTCAGTGTCGGAGGAATTTCTGTCGGACAAATTGAAATCGGCATTCGCAACAAAATTTCCAGTTACTTCAGCTAAAAATAAAAGATGTGGTCTTGAGTTTGCAAGACCCCGGGAAATTACCATGTTTTTGGACTTTTCCGAGCGGAAAAGCGGAGGAATCGAGAAAAGTCGCAGAGGAAAAATGTGGTAGACTCGTCAAAACGAAGCTCCTCAGGAGTTATAAAGTATGTCTTGCTCCCATTCTGACGGAGATTTTCTATAAAATGGACTTGGTTTGAAACGCAAATAACTTTTTGGCGAAAAGAAATTTGTAATCTGCCGCTTTTGAACAAGGGGCATCGTAAATTACAAATTTCTTTACAACAAAAAGTAATTTGAGTTTCAAACTAACTCCATTTTCATTCATCTCTCTTTCAGTTTCTATTTAGTACAGCTGTCGATATACTGTATATTTTATTTAAAATAAAATCATAAAATTGATCGTAAATCGTAATTTAACAGAACATAATGTAAAACTAAAAGTGGTCTAACTGCTCCAGACGTATATGTTTGCATGCGATAAACTTTCGCGCACGGCGCGGTAGCTACGTTCAGACGTATTGCCCAGTGAAAGGATTAAGTTGACCCCACAAAAAATAGTCCAGGGAGTTAAGGTCAGGGGAACGTGGAGGCCAGGGAACAGGACCTCCTCGGCCTATCCATTTTTCTCTATACAACTCATTTAAGTGTTGTCTTACATTATGTAGGTAATGAGGTGGCGCCCCGTTCTGCATAAACCATATGCTTTGGCGTTCAATGAAAGGGGCATCTTTCACGAAAATAAACCCGATTGTCAAACAATTAAAAACAATTATACATCTACCATAGTGTCGTAAGTGGTAGCTCAATGTAAAATTTCAAGTTAAAATAAATATTTCCTACCATCACATTTTTCTTGATATGCTCATCGAACGACATGATGTCTTGCCACCCCCGTCTGCATCGCAGCCAGTGAGAGAACCTCTTCCAAGATGGCTTGCAGAAACTCCGAAAGCCCATGTGGGTCTGTACAAATGGCGCCCTCAGCTGTACGACTTGAATGGAATGCTAGATGAGGTGTTGGCACCTTTCCCCTCTCTAAGCCTCGGAGTCATTATGAAACTGTCTGACGGCTGGTAACAGCTACGAAAGGAAAATTTCTCAATTAATTTTTTTCAAACTTCCTACTCCTACTTGAAGTCAGAATTTCAAATTCAAATCCTAAATTCACAATTTCTATGAGTAAATTCAAACTTGCAATAAGATATTTTTCAAATATATATATATAAAGCAAGGAAATACTATGCTTACCCCGTAGATCTTGAACCAGTGTCCAGGTTATTACTAATAAATTTGGGCAAAATTTCCAGTTCTGTACTAAATTTTTCAGACAATGTACTGCTGATATGACAAACAGCCAAGGATTGTAAACATTGTATTGTGTAGCTTTCAGGTTGCTTGTGTGAAGTTTATTTTTTCTATCCTCATAAATTTGATAAAATCTAAAAAAAGACAAACATATATAGGGTTTGCATTAAAAAAATGTATGGATTTTGTCACTGAATACTAGGTAACTACTTGGCAAAGTAATGATGAAGAAATAAAATAATCTGTCAAATTTTTTATCATCACCTTTAATTTTATGTCAACATTTGAAAATGTAACAAGCAAACACCATAAATAATAATTATTATTAAAATACTAAAAGTATTCCTTTTTTTGATGAACATCTGCCAAAATTACTTATTAAATGAAAGTAGGTATTACCCATGGCACAGTATCAGTATAGAATTATTGAATTCTGTGATCTGTGGTATTAATATTAATCCATCAAACATCAAACAATTAACAAACAATGCCATAACCTCTTTTGAGAAACGGTCGGCGTAAAAATTGGATAAAAAGTAGATATTTTAAATTCATAAAATAAATTGTTATTTACCTTCAAAACAAAGTGTTACAACAATAACTTAATGCCCCTTTTAATTTAATGTAGCATGTTTATGAAATTGAATCTTAACCAAAAATTCTAAAAGGATGTCAAAAATTTTGCAATTATAAATGAAATACAACAAATATTTTATAAATTGCTGACCATAAGTGAGAATTACTTATTTTCTAAGAAGAAATACATATTATTGGCTGTTGCTATTCGCGAATGCAGCTAAGAGCTCGCCCTCTGGCGGTGACAAGTGATACTAGCGAAACAAGGTAAATATTTCTTGTGTGTGTGACATTTCGTTTCGTATTTTATTAACGTAACTGAATTTAGTGTTCGTTTTTTGAACACTGTTATTTTAAGAAAATAGTGTGAGGAAAATTTCAGCAATTATGGATAGAAAGAAGAAACTGTCAAACTATTATTGTTCAGTTCAAGGTTGCTCTTCATGGTCCAAGAAAAATCCAGAATTAAGTTTTCATCAAACCATTGAAGAAATTTTCAAAATATTATTGCCGATAGATAATACTCCCTGAATTTCATGAGGGTTGTTAGTAAGTAAGGGCACTAGTCTGCAGACATAATATAAATTTCTAAATTTAAATTAACTTTGCTCAATTTTCCCATATAGTACCACATGATCAGCCTTAAAAACTGCCTCTCCTTCTAATATACAACGAGAGTTTTCGTTAGCATATATGTAAATAGGAAATGTATTCCACAACGGATAAGTTCATAGTTATAACTTAATAAAATGTACATTACATTGTAATGCTAGAGACAAATAAAGTAGACATAAATACTTGCCTTAAAATTTATTTATGAAATATTTGAAACCTATAAAATAACACAAAAGTGAAATAACCGCAGTTTGATAACAAAATTACTAATAATAATGGCAAATAAGACAAATGTTGTTCAAATGAATGTGTAAACGCGAACGGCAATGTCAAAATTACCTTGTTTCGGAGCTTACTGCTTTCGCCGCTTGGTGCGCTTGCATCTTAAAAATTATCGCGGATTATTTATAGCATTTATTATTAATAAATCCACCATTTTCAAAATCATACTTGTTTAAATTTAAAAACGTCATTTGTGGCACGATCTGTGAATGGTAAATGTATTTGGTTTATTAACATTGTTACATTTACTTTTACACTTGAAAACTATTATTATGGCCGCCGCTATATCTTTTTTTATATAAAAAAATATATTTTTACAGATAACACATGCACATCTGAAATTTAAGGAAATTAGGCAACCAACATTATTAAAGTAATTTATGCAACTAACATTACTGTAACAGTGTAACAACACTAGAATCTGCACTAGCATCACTCTGAAATAGAGTGATGCTATCTTCACTTAAAACGGCAAGGTTAAATTTCTCGGCTCCGGGATTTCATTCATAAAATAGCCCGCTGTCCTTACTATCTTCCTTATACTATGTATGTTGTACTTACCCAAGATACAATCTATAAGTTTATCGTATCATGTGTTGTACCGATATTGTTTTTTGAACTGTTTTGTAAAAAGAAAATTAAATTCCATAAAACATACTTATTATTTATTTTTATGCATATTAGTTTTAAGGCGATTTCGTAGTTACTAAAAGATATTTCAATAAAATTTTACGGGATGGAAATCGCTATAATAAGGATATCTTCAAACAATTTTTTTACCCGATAGAGATAGGGACTGTGAAAAACGTACTTTTTTGACGTCACTTTTACTTTTAAATCGCAACTGAGAGACAGTCGGGAATTTAGAGACAATTTAACAATGATGTGTAATACATTTTTAATAGTCCATGTACATATTTTAACAAGAAATAAGTTAATATTTATAATCGACTATACTACCCGAAAATATTAATTGAAATATTTTTACGTTAGGTATTAAAAATTAAAATTAAACAAAAAAAAAGCTAAATCTTACGATTACTAAATCGGTTTCCGTTAACACAAGGAAACTACGAGGAAATATATTTCTAAGGCAATCTTTGTGACAAAACAGTTTTATCAACGAAATTAAATATGGACATCCTATATGATTTATCCAGACACAATACAATCTGTTTGATTATAAAGACTGCAAGCTATTAACTCGGTTACTCATGTTTGGACACCCGGTAAAGTATATATATATTTTTTTAAATGGTGTTATTTTCTTTATACTGACGCACAATTTTTTTTTTCGTTACACTGTAGACTAGTGGTGACGTCATCCCGTCGATTAAATGGGATTGTGTAAATTTTGTGCATGTTTTTATAGATTTTTTTTTTCTTTCCAACCATATGAAAATTATGTCTTTTCATAACGATATTTTTGAGAAAAAATGTGAAAACTTTCAGCCTATTAGTTTACGGTGCTCACTTTCTAAATCATATCAAATAGAAGGCGCTGGGAAAACAATTTTCCATACTGCTGCACATAGATCCAATATAGTATGCTGTGGCATATCCGTCACATATCGGTTTGTTTGTCAGCCCTCTTAACTTATAACAAAATGAATGATTTTAATGAATTAGTTGATATACTGCAGGTTTATTATGAATGTAGAAAAATATAGTGTAACGATATGAATTTATATTGACGTTATCCCAATAAAATTTTTCCTAACGGAAGAAAGTTTAGTTGTAAAATGAATAGAGAAATTTGAAAGTAGGTACTGTTCAAAATGTTGTCCATCTTTCGATACATAATTCACATCTTCGAATTACACGAAACAAGAATTGCAACTGTTTGTATTTTGAAAATGGTTGTACAGATAAAAAAGCGCTAAATAGAAAAAATTTGCACTAAAAATTATTTCCAGAGGGGTGTTTATGAAAAAAATTACCAGTGCTACAGGACGGCATGAATATACAGCTAAAATAGTTTTATTTTAAATTATTCTTGTAAAGTAGGCTACCATAGGTGTTATCGGTATTCAACATTAAACGCAAAATAAAAACAAATTCAACAAATAAATAGGTTTAATGATTAAAGAAAACTCAGACCATAGGACTCTATGGAGCAAAATGTGACAATCTGTATGTAGGTACAAATATGAAACAATTTCTTACACAATGAATACGATCTTAATATTGAACTTAACAACCATCAAAATACAGGCTATTCTGTAACGAGTGCAACAAATATAAATGACTCCTAATTTCTACGTTTCTCTTTTATTTAGTTTATCCAGTATTCTCCTCAAGAGAATTAATGAAATAAGTACATACATCCTTATATAAATATTAAATAATTATAAGTAAGCTTTTGGGGTCGATGCAAGTTAGCAACTCTTTTTGGAGGTTACAGAATAGCAGTATAAACTCCTTAATATTACTTATCACGTACAAAAAATTTAGGAGTATTCAACATTATCAAAAAAGAGGCACTACAATCATATGCAAATAATCATCATAATAAAAATATATTATAGTACATACCTAAAAATTACACTACATTAATTTAATATACATAGTTACCTTTTGAATTACATTATTTATCACAAATTGGAAGAAACCGTAAATATAATAAGAACATACAAGAGTCAATTGTTGTCAGTCATATATCACTTAATTAATACTAAATACAGAGAGACGTTTAACTAATACGTTGTCATCCTCTAAACATACCTCAAACACATGTATGGGTCAGTATACTGCCTGTGGAAAACTATGGGAAAACACATAACATTTTCCAAATATTGTATGATTTAATCGATTTTTTTTTTCAGAATATCGAGTTCAATTTATCAAGTAAAAATTAAAGCTCCCGCAAAGCATCCGAAGTACCAAAAGTTGATTGAAAAAAATCCAACAATTTTTGATAATAATATTCAAGCAACAAAAGTAGCTCACAATCACCCAAATCGATTAATATATCAGTTTTTTTCTGTTGTTCATACAATAAAGGTGCAACTATGCAACAGTTATGTAAAATATGTTAAAGGTAAACATATAATGTATATTTTGTTACATAATCATCACTGTTCAAAGTACTAAAGACAAGGTATATCTTTTTCTTATTGTTAGTTTTGAATGTTAATAATATACAGGGTGACCAAAACTGAAATCTTGTATTCTTTGGCGAATTTTAAGCAGAGTCTTTCCTATAAAGTTTTATCTATAACGCTTCGTTAAAAATATACAGGAATAATTTGAAACTGATAGACACATGTATTTATGTAAATATTGTCCAAAATCTGAGGGCCTTTCCTAAAATTTACATGCTCCAGTTGTGGAGATACAGGGTATCATCGGTGGCATATATTTCTAAATAAAATAGTATGCCCGATTTTCGAGTAAAACTGAAAACACTTTTACCTAAATGACATGACATGACTAATCATTCGGTTACTTATTCGAATAAAGAAATTAATAATACTAGTCATCATTTTAATGATTTTGTTTGAGTAAATGCTCAAAAATACCTCTATTTCCACGAAAAAAGACGCGACATCTTTTTAGTAACGAAAAAATGTAATTTGTTCGAAATTTATTGTTGCTTGAATCCGAATGAAAAGTATTATTTATTCTTTCCTCTAACTGCTCAGATCAGAATGTCAATGTTGCTATCGCAGCCTACTATGTATTTTTAAACCATTTTATTTGAATATTGAAGTGTGTTTTCAGTTGGTTTTTTAAGTTTAACTTGAAAAACAGGCTTTTTTCGAAAAAGATAAGAGAGTAGTAATTTGTAGAAAATTGAAAGACGAATATCATGGTTGTTACCGTAAAGCAGTGGCGTACTATTTTATCTAGAAAAATATGTCACCAATATCCTGTATCTCTAGCAGTGGAGCATGTAAATTTTAGCAAACAGATTTTGGACAATATTTATATAAATACATGTGCCCAATTTCAAATTATTTCACTTACTAGTTTTTAAATTATTTAAAAAAATTTAAAATATATTTTGAAGTTTAACACCCTGTATCTTTTTAACGAAGCGTCCTAGATAAAAACTTTATATGAAAGACCCATTAAATTTCACGAGGTTCCATTTTTGGTCACCATTTGTGAATCACCTTGTATATATAAATCGATTAGAAGTGAACCCTATTAACACCCCAGTGAAGGAATATGTCGACTTATCAGTGACCACATATGAAACATGGAAACATTAAAAAGTTCAAATTTTTGAACTTCAAAAAAATAGGTATGTTTTAATGTTGTTCCATTTAAATTATTGCCGTTTAGAAAAAAAATTATCACAACCTCATTTTAATGGAATGTCTTCCGATATCAATATAGAAAACAATGGAAAATTACAACTTATCTCGAATTGTGGGGGAATTTCAGAAAATTGCTAGCTCACCCAAAGCATAAAAGATTAAATTTTTAATAGTAACGGAAAATTAAAAAATAAGAAAAATGGAGCACTTAAATTTAGACAAACAGCAACTCAGTAATTTTGCGCAGGGAACTACTTTAATTGTTTATTATAAACTGTTAGTATACAAGGTGCTCATTTTTGCAATAAAGTTGCGGAATTTGACGAGGATAGATAGAAAAATTTAAGTTTCTATTTTTAGTCAGTAACCAAAAGTACTGAACCTTTAGGACAGTTTTTTCTAAAGAATTAAAATAATATGTTGACATTAGGTGGCGTTAGCCACTGCACCAATCAGGATAGAGCAAAGACATTCTGCTTTTGGTTTTGTCATGGCATGGGCACCATCTTGCAATATCACATTTTAAATTCAGCCCATTTTTTCGATTACTATGAGGCATCATACATTTTTGTAGTAGTTAACATTTCAGCTTTGTCGAAATATTAAATTCCACATTTATGAAGAGTGGCTTGAAAACAAAACACAACTATTACTCGAAATTTTCACACAGACCGTCAGTGAAAATTTTGAACTGTTAAAATTTGTAAAAGTTAACCCTTCAGTACTGACATGTACTATTAGTAATATTCAAACTGCAATACTTTTTTCACTTAACGTCTCTCAAATAAGAATATTTCAAATACAGGATGATTCAGAATATATCAAAAAAAAAATATGGATGTACAGGGGACTATCAAATACAATTTTATAAAGGAAAAATCAAAAAGGGCCGTTTGAAAATTATTTAAAAATATACTTCTGCACGGCACTGGAAACTGGTCCACTGTAAACCTGACCTGACATAATGCGACCGACATAGCGGCAGTGATAAAAACGGGCAAAAACTTGAAAGAATTTTCTCAAGAAAAGGAATAAATATAATTTTATAGCACCTATTTTATACCAGCAAATTCAACTGATTTTGCCTCTATTGTTATTATTAGTTAATAAAATTAATTTGTGGTTTTAAATACTTAATAAAATAATTTGGCATATCTGATGTTACAACTGTTTAAAATTTTGTCCACCGACGTGTAAACACATTTGGGTCCGTCTTACTCAGTTTCCACGAACTAACACAAATGCTGTCTTGTTTCACCATAACACAAATGCTTCACCATAATACACATGTTTTCTTGCTTCACAATAAATTAAAACGATATCCATCAACTCCGAGTTGCTATACACGCAAGCCATTTTTGATGCTAACTACTAAAAAACTATTGTAAACAGTCGGATTTCAGTATTCGGAGTCGCTGAGGCCACGTGGCTCTTTACGCGTATTACAAATGACGCTAAAGACTACAGTTGTCCAGCTATGTAATGATTGAAATAATAATTCAATAATTTTTTTCTCGGAAACTATAAGGATTTTACAAAAATTTTTTTACGATATTGACTCTGTATCTCATGCCACATCTATTCCCAAATTTTTTTGGATAAGTTGTGAAGCACCCTGTATATTTTCTGCACAGGAAGGAAATGGAAGAAACCGCTAATTGTAAGTTATATTATATCACTAATTTTTCAGCAGAAATGTATGTATTTTGCAAAAAAAGAATTAAAATAAAATTTTCACAGATAACTTGAACACGGATAAAATTTTTCTTTGGTATGTTATTCACCATTAAATTCTGCAACTTTGCCCTAACTTGACGCACCTTATAACTTTTAAGACAACCGAGATCATGATGCACTCAAAAAATGTGCATGTGGTATTGCTTTGACTAAAAACATTATGGTCCATGTTTGGGATAACCTAATTTCATCAGTCTAGTTAAATGCGTAGATTTGCCTCACGGAGTGATTTAAAGTAAAGTGCAAATATTGAAATACGATATTCTATAATGCGAGCATCCATCAAAAAGTTACCTAATTGTTTTATTTTTTGGATTGAAATGTTAACAACAATGTACATACTGGCAAAAAAAGTATGTGGTTGAAAAACGTGCATTCTCTAAGGTCCTTCATAGATACCTACATAATTTGTTAGCCAAAATTTCATATACAGTAGAACCTCGATAATCCGAACCCCTGTAATCCGAACGCTCGATAATCCGAACGCCGTTTTGGGAAAAATAAAAATAGTATGTAATCAGAATCGCTCTCTAACTGCTACAGTAAACATAAAATATAGTTACCTTACTGTAGCACAGTAGTATGTATTTCATAAAAAAACTATTTTGTACCTTTAACAATACAACGTGCTCCATATTTTATGGGAAATAGTATGTCAGTGTTCATTTTTGCATGCTACTTTGCCTGGAAAGCACTTTGTTTGGTAATCCGAACGATTCGATAGTCCGAACCACCCCCGGTCCCAATTAGTTCGGATTATCAAGGTTCTACTGTAATAGTTTTTGGGCAAAAATAACCAAATGCGTTAACACTTAACACTTGAAGGGTTGTAAGTAATGTTTGAGCAGAAATATGCAGAGAAGATTTTTATAATAAAGGCTTTGATTTACAGTTGCAGTACTTGCACTTTCCTTTAAATCTCCATGTACATACCTAGGTATTTTGAAAAATATGTTACTGTTTCCGTCAACAGACAAACAATTTCTGTTACGGCCGAATTTACTCAACAATGTACTAATAAATAATACAAGTCGACGGCTGGATCACAATTAGATTAGATAGAAAAGACACCTTTGACTTTTATTGCTAACAAAAAATGATAATGTAAATACCTCACGCAAAGCAAGCCTATATTAAAAATCAATCAATAACCTTAATACCAAGAAGGAGAATGTACAGTTTACTAAAATAAAATAATAAATAATTACCAGTCGAGTTGAAATGATGATTAATTACGGTATTATGGAAAATACAGCAAATACACTTAGTGTTATACCGGTTGCTATTGGACCATTATCCTGTATTGCAGAGATAATCTTTTGATGTACATTCGACTACTTGGAATTATAAATATCTGATTGAATTTATTGTTTTTCCAAAAGACAAAAGTTCCATGCTACGTGATATTCATTAGATTAAAAAATACATACCAAAGAAATTAAAAAAAATTCTCAAGAGTTGAACTAAATGAAAGGCAGGATAAAATCATCGTATCGTATTTAATTCCAAAATTTCTCACTTTTTAGCAAATGTGTCGGTTTGATTTTTTTTCTTATGTATTACGTATGAAAGACAATACATTGATTTTTACGAAAGTAAAGTGTCATGTGCAGTGTGGTTTTTCTATGATTTTACTGCTTCTTAACGTGCGCTGCTGCAATAAAACTTGGAGGACGCAACGTTTACAAACATTTCACATACGCATATGTACACATGTTTGTTGTAGCAAATTAATAAGGCACTAGGGTACATTCGACATTTAGGTATCTACTCACATATAGGGTATTTACAAACTTGGAGGGAATATTTCATGAATAAGTAAATGAACATAAAATCATGCAGTTTTCATGGGTATTTCCATACCTTAAGAGATATATCTCTTTGTCTTTTCATCTGTTACAATTGGAAAAGAAAAATGCTAATTATTAACGCAATCTACCTACGGCTAAAAATCCTCTTTTCATATTTGCAAGCACCCTATATATAATATCACGTCTGTGTAGGTTATTCGCGCGCATTTTCCTCGACGACAGATTCGGTCGTTTTAATTCATTGTTAAGATAGTGTGCTAATTTATATGAAATAAGTTCTTTTGTGATTGTTAAATGCGAAATATGAATTAGTGCTGTTGGAAATTTATTTAAAACAGAAAGTCTCCGTTTACCGTATAGTGTAGTGGTAGTGGTTATTTTGTAAACTTTTCCCAAAATACAACACGCTCGGCTCTGCCTAAGAATAAATCCGGCACTCAAAAAGGACATTCAACTCTCGAGCATTTTTAGATAAACTGGATGTAATATTGTTCGAAAAAATATCGACATGTACTTCGATTGAAATTTGGGATATTGCCAATTTTCTTTTGGACAGAAATTTTGGCTCGACCTGCAATTTGCTAAATGAAACTTATCGAGACAAACTATATACAGAGCAAAAAAAACCCTCAAATCCCTATCGAACACAGCACAGCTTTTTCCAAAATCTCTTCTTCATCCTCTGCCTTTCTAAGGCCCTCAAGATGGCTATATCGAAGGCCTCCTTGAGGTGTGTACACGCCAGCGCGGACGTCTCTATGTATGGTGCGTTGAGCCTCTCCGCCAAACCCTTGGCTTCCGAGGATAGAACCGGTCTTTGACCGACATCCCTAAGTCTGTTGATGACTTCTATGTTGGTTTTGAGATCTGATTGTGTACCCACTAAGACGACAGCGGCACCTTGTCTAGTGAGTTCGTCCGCCCACCTGGTGCAGGCGGAAATAAAGGAGTTAGGCTTCACTATTGAGAAGCACAGCATGAAAACGTCAGTTCCTGGGTAACACAGATGGCGCAAAGGGTTGAGTCCGTCCTGATGAAAGAAAATAATATAAATAGTAATAGCGAGACCATCGCGAGTTTTAGAACCACTTAAATAACATGAACGGGTTTCACAGATAAGGGGTTCCAAATCTCTTTAATCTCATATAGCCATTAAACTGTATAAGAAGCTTCCCAGTTAATTGTCCTATTTTGTATGAAACACCTTAGAGCAAGAGGATATAGTAAATGGAAAGCTTCTGACACTTGATAATTACTATAATAGGAGTAGCTTTGTTCCTAGTGCAATAGAATCAGTTTCCAACAGCTAGACGCGATCGCATTTGGTTCGAAATAACGAATTTTGAATCTAATGTAACTATAGATTAGTTGGAAACTATTTTGTATTGTTCCCTAAACAAAGCTAATATGTTCTCGAGTCGAATATATACGTTTATATACATAATTTACTTCTATACATATTAAACTAACTCTCTGCAATAATGCGCTTTTATAGAAATCAAACTCAAGTGCTCCAATATGATGCGTCTATTTTAAATATTTTGTGACAGTATGGGTATTCACAGAAATTGCTTCTCATCTACGAGTATGTGTATATAAATAAATAAGTGCGCAAAAATTCAGGGGGCGATTCTGTGGAAAAATAAGGTGGGTCTTTCTCATTTGAACATCCCCTGTGAGATATGTACAATCGATTAAAGAGGGTACCAAAAATGTAGTTTTTATTTTTTCCTCAAATACCAAAAAAGTGACAGAAATGATATTAAGTAGACGTTTTCTGCTATCGAGAAGGCACTTACTAAACGATGTTGATTTTCCCCTAGGGCTGTAAGGGGTAGAAAAGGACACCCCTAAGATTTTTGTCATATGTAACTTTTTTCTTATTACTTAAAATTCATTCTGATAGCCTGCTTCATTCTAAACAAAAAAAAAAGGATCCTGTAATTTTTTTGTAAAATTAACGATTTCATTACAAGGCCTGATTGGCACGGAGTAGAAATTTTATCGAACTGTAATTTATCTAGCAGGTGGCTATCAGGTTGACATTTCGTTTTCTACTTTTTTGCCACCCTCTTTAAGCGGTTGTATTTCCACAGGAGACGTTCAAATTAGTAGAGTTTTTTATAAAAAGACCCACCTTATTTTTCCACAGGGAAGCACTTCAATTTTTTTGTACTTACTTAATTTCCACCCTATATATGTATTATGTATACATATACAGTAGGGTGGCCCCATCGGGTGGCCCAAAAAAAGAACGACCATTTTTTTTTTCGTGTCTTGTGAAAATATGTTAGTTTATCATGTTTTAAGAGCCCCCTCAAAAATCAGCTCAAAGATTTTTAAAAATTTCCAAAATCGTCAAAAATTGAATTCTCGTTATTTTATCATTTTCTAGGTTGAAAAAAATCTCGATTCTGAACATTTTATTTTAACTTTAAAAGTAGTGTACCTACTTAAAATGTTTTCGAGCGACCTCTAAAAATAGATATCAACGAACTAATAATTTTTTTTATTGAATTTGATGAACAAAAGAATAAAAATAAATCACGAGACGCTTAAAAAATTTCTCAAGACAAAATTTACTACTGCACTGTGAGTATCAAATATTTATAATTTTTAAATTTTTTAAAATTTAAGTGTCTCGTGATTTATTTCTACTCCTTTGTTCATCAAATTCAGTAACAAAAATTATTAGTTCGTTGATATTTATTTTTTAGAGATCGCTGGGAAACATATCATAGGTACACTACTTTGGAAATGAATAAAATAACGAGAAAAAAAAATCTATTTTTGACGATTTTAGAAATTTTTAAAAATCTTGAGCGACCTCTAAAAAAATGTTTTTGAGCTGATTTTTTGAGGGGGCTCTTAAAACATGATAAACAAACATATTTTCACAAGAGGCACGAAAAAAAATAATCGTTTCTTTTGGGCCACCCTAATATACCGGGTGATTCATTAACAATGGAAAATCCGAAAGGTGAAGATACTACACGCGAAATGGTAACCATTGGTGCAAACATGCCTTATCCGAAAGTTGATAATTTCGGAAATACAGGGTGTTGAAAGATAAAATTTTAATTCGTTTTTTGCGATTATTCTGAAAATATATATGTTAGGAAAATTTGTGAAACATGTTGCCAATGGTTACCATTTCAAGTGTAGAATCTTCAGCTTTCAGATTTCCCATTGTTAGTGAATCACCTTATATTTATTTCTTTATTTTTAATTTTGTAGTTAATAAATATAATTTTATCACGAGTAAATGTGTAATTATATTTACGTCAGAGATATATGTATGTATTATAATTTGTCTGAAATGTAAAAATTACATAGCAACATGCAATTGGACGTTTACAAGTTTCCGTTTTCAAGTTTAGAAAACGAAAAACAAAACCACGGCTAGGTGAGCACCTAGTATGAATCACTCGAGGACCGGTGTTGCTCACCGATTTACTTGTGAACGTGAAGTATTGAAATAGATTTCATCCTTTGTTGCAATTAAGTTAAATGACCACCTGAACGAGTTAGTTCTTGCTCGCCTGTTAATTTTTAATGCTTTTTTCTTGCAAGACGCGGTACCGTTTCAAAATTAAATAAGTACCTGTGATCTTTTGCGTTTAAATAAAAATATACAGGGTGATTTCACTTTAAATACAGAAACTGCAGGACTAGATTCATTACCAAAAAATAAGTAGAGTTTGCTCTATAAACTTCTTTCCTGCGGGTGCGGGACTCGATATTCGAGATACAGAGTGTTAAAGTTTGCAAAAAAATATATAATTTCTGCATATATCTTCATAATGCGCTGACGGAATTGAACGAAATTTACTACAGCGTGTTCACTTAATTAGACTTTTTATTGAACCCTTTATTAACCTTGTGGCTTTAACCAGTGGCGTGCTACTGGAGGTGCCGCCCCATATTCCTAAGAAAAAAATACGCCACTGGCGATTTTTTGTAAAAATAATATTACATTCAGGTACTGTTACGTTAAATGAATGAAAAATGTTTCTTGGTGTTTTTAATAGTAGCAGCCGTTTGGGAGATATTGGGCTTGTTTTTACGTTTTATTGAATTTTCCTCATGAACTTAATCCGTTTATGTGATGAAAACCTCCTGGTTTTAACCAGTGACGTGCTATTAAAGCGTCCGCCAACTTTTCCTACGAAAAGAATACGCCACTGGCGGTTTTTTGTAGGAATATATTTTTTTTTTCTGGAAAAATATCAAAACTAAATAATAAAATAACATTAGCAAATACCTAGGTCCAGTAAGTGATTAAGTAACGAGTCCTACAACAATTGTCCAATTGTTTATAGCGCTGTTTTGCACGTTCTATTTTGTTAATTGTAAAGGACTACTTAATTTCAACTTTTTGAAATTTTTCTTTGTGATACGCTTCTTTGGGTCAATTAGAACTTATATCTAATATTATATTAACTTCTAAAATTAACGTTTAGTAATTAAACAGCTAGTTGCAAAAAAAAACAAATGAAATTAATTAATAGCTGGAGCAACAATTTTACGGTCAATTGAATCAGCTTTGGTACACATGTTGGTCATTGGATTGACCGTCTTTTCCATAAATTTCATCAACATTCGTCGCTTTTTGCAATTTATTATTTTACAGTTAACAAATCAGTGAAAAATTACTCTAGGTACCTACCTTAAATTGTAGGTAATTTAATTGTCTACAACATAAAATAAATGATAATTCCGATAGGTCGTCTAGATTTTCGTGGGCAGTAAAAAAAGTGAAAAAACACGTAAATTTGACACTTACTTGCCATTTAGCAACTTAGCGTCACTTCTTTCGATTTACTTTTTTAATATTATCATTCTACATACCCTTTCGCGTCATAAAGCGAAATAAAATGTCTACTGGAGTACCACGAATAACATTGAAAATGATTTCTCTGATTATTACAGCATATCGAATTTTCTTGGATAAAACTGTTTGAATATTCAAATTTATAATCATTAAATGCGGTATACCTACGTGTGTATCTCCTATAATGTTACCGATGTGCATGTCTATTGTTATAGTTTTTCGCACACTTCAAATAGAAAATCGAGAATTACAAGTATTTATATAGCTAAAACAATATCAAAATATTTGAAGTCTCATAAAAATTTCAACAAATCGGTTATTTACACAAAATATTTGCGGACACAAAATGTTGCCGACTAAATGGCGCTAGTTTATCTACTTTATCTATCGCAGTTTATTGATTGTCGCAGAAATTATCCTGATGATATCATCAAACTTTTTTCTTTCAATGTGGCAGAAATACAAAATGAATAAAAAAAAATAACAAAGAACGGTGTAAATAAATAAATAGAGACGGTATAAAAGTCCTACACGAACTGGATATGAATGAGAAAATTTGCATTGTTCATTAATAATTTGAAAATAACATGTAAGTGCCTGCAAAAATATAAGTATCTCCATAAAGTTGAAAAAAAATTGTTTCCATTCCAAGTCACGTAGCGTTTTATAAATATATTTTAACCTGCTGGATTACTTTTGTAAAATGATTCAAATATCTGAAATAATTCACTATTGCCATTCGTCGCTCAATAAAAATGTGTTTATATTTTCATATTCACTCAATTTTTTATATTTCGATGGTAAATAAAGTAAAACCAAATTGTTGGAATTACGCACCTTAATGAATCCAAAAACTAGGTAAGCAGCCTTATAAAATAACCTTAATTTTACACTTTTGTACAAATAATACATATAACTTTTTACAAATAAAAATAGGTTAGGTTAGGTTGGTTCTATATGCATATAGGGATAAAGTGATATGATAATGATTTTTCTATCAACGTACGACATTTATGAAAGCTAGTGTTGAAGTTACAATTAGACCGAAAACCAATAATTGTTTATAATATAAAACAACTCATAAATGTGATCGGTTTCTAGTACGATTTTATGAAATCGAAAATAGTGAAGACATAACAGACATACCTACATATATTTAATTTTCCGCTTAAATAGAACAAAACAAAATTGAAAAAGTTTCCTTATAACAAAATGTATAATAGGTGAGTATGTACGAATATACTAAAACACTACTTAATATTATTTTAAGGATGATTAATCTCTGCTTTTAGGCATCTTTAGATAAGAATGAAAAATGTGAAATATGGTAAGAGAGTTACGGATAACCTACGTATACGTAGGTACATTTTTACAACTAAACATTTGATCACCTTTTCCTTCATGTTGTGTTCTACATTTTTTATGAAGTGGTAAAATACGTACTAAGATAAGCCTTATTTTCAGGTCTAAATTGCATTTTGCTTATTATTTATATACACTCTCCATTATCTATTTTTGGTTAAGTATTTGTAAATTAGTAACATCGTGGAATGTATGTACAACATTATGTCATCTTTAGGAGAAAATTGTTCCACGTGTTTTTCAATACCAACAAAAAACATTAAGGGCATATAAAATAAATGAAAATTAATGGTAGTACTAAATTTATTAATACTGAACAGATATAATTCATTTTTACTTTTTAGACTTTCCCAACGCATCACTTCGATAATTCAAGAATTATTTAAATAAAGTAGAATGTAGTAGTTTATTTAAATAGGAAATCCTAATACATATTCAAATATTCTCAAACATTCTTAAAGACGGAACAAAAACATTGATAAATTTAGAATTATTTAATATGTACAGACTCGAGAATAACGACGAATACATATAATATAATTATTACCATGCAGCCGAACTGCCAACAAACGCGAATTACAAAGTTAAAATTACCTCTCCAGCTGTATCGCAGAGCTCCACCCTGATTGGCTTTCCATCCACCTGTACTTCAACTGAAACAAACAAAAGAAGATCAGTTCATGGTAGTAGCGATAGCGAACCGTCGAAGGGTTCGCCCGCATGTCATCGGACGGGTTGGTGTGTATCAGCGTTGCCAGATTTTTTTTCGGGCAAAGCGGGATTTTGAAACTTTTTGAATAAAAAAGCGGGATTCTTTCGTCCAAAAACGGGATATACTACGGGTAATTGATGCCTAAAAAAAAACTGGAAAACAAATTGTCTTCAATAAAATAATAAAATCGGTCTAAAAAAAAGTGACGTAATCAGGAAATATCTATTTAATAACAGGGGCAGAAAAAGCGGGACCGATGCTCAAAATAAACCAGTTCGCAGCAAAAAATTATTTTACGAACTACAGAGATACATCGTCATAAATGCGAACTGGATTTACTGTTATTTTGTAGTTACTACCTGCATTAAATGATTAAAGGGGAATAATCAAAACTAATTTATTAATAACAAAACATACAACATGTAGAAATCATAGTAAATGTTCAATATGTCTACCTTCAGACATTACGCATGCGTCTAGACGTCGGCGCATTGAGCCACGTATTCGCTCAAATATTCCTGGAGTCTCTCTAATTACCCTGCACGCATCGATAATGCGGTTTCTTAAGTCCTCTACATCGCGAACAGGAGTACGATAAACCAAATGCTGCAAATGGCCCCAAGTAGAGAAATCGAGAGGATTGAGATCCGGGGATCGAGCGGGCCAATTCTGTGGTCCTCCTCGACCTATCCACTGATTTGCATATGTTTCAGTTAAATGCTGACGTGCTACTTGACTAAAATGGGCGGGAGCCCCATCATGCATAAAAACCATATCCCTTCTGACGCCCAAAGGAACTTCCTCCAGCAGTACGGGGGGATGCACTTTTCTTAAAAATTGAACGTATGCCTCACCATTTAATCGAGGAGGTAGAAAATGAGGCCCAATTAAATAATCCCCAATAACTCCGACCCACACCTTAAGAGAAAACTGTTCTTGATGGTTAGTTTCGACAATAGCGTGATGGTTTTCATCAGCCCATATGTGGTAATTATGAAAATTAATAATCTTGTCCCGAGAAAAACTACATTCGTCTGTGAATTCGATCGTCTTCAGAAAGTCACGATTTCTTCTAATCATTTCCAGCATCCAATTGCAAAATTCAAGACGGTTCGGAAAGTCTCGCGGTAACAGTGCCTGTACTCGTTGCAGATGGTAAGGGTATAAGAGATGTTCCTTTAAAATTCGAAATACCGTCATATGATCAACATTTAGCTGGAAAGCAATCTTTCTAGTACTGGTAGTAGGTTGTTCTTCTATCAAATTAAGTACTGCTGCCTCAAGCTGTGGTGTTCTTACTTCTCGATGGCGACCACAATCCTGCGTTCTTTTGTTGAATGAACCATATTCACGTAATCGTTGATGAAGTCAGACAAATATTCTATGTGAAGGATGCTGCCGTTGAGGATACATTTCAGCATATCTTGTAGAAGCTTCTAACCCATTCCCCTGCGACAGACCGTAAACGTAATGCATATCAGCCATTTCCTCATTTGTGTATGCCATTTTAATAACAAGTGAATTATTAAAGTAACAAATTAAGAACAGAACAATACACAATTAGTATTACTTCAATTTCAAAAATTTACAAACTGACAGCTTGATTCCAATTTAATTGTCAGTATCGCTAATGGCGGCCTACTAGATAAATTAGTTTCGTATTTTCGTTTTATGGCGATATGTATCTTGTTCGTAAAATAATTTTTTGCTGCGAACTGGTTTAATTTGGGCAAAAAATTCAAGAGACATTTTTTTTTAGAATGAAACAGGCTATCGGAAATAAATTTTTAAATGGTAAAAAAATAATAAGACAAAAAATTACGTTGGAAATAAATTTTAGGGGTTGCGTTTTCCACCCCTTACAACCATGGGGTAAACCAAATAAATTACTGGCTAAGTGTCTTTTTGGTAGTAGAAAATGTCAGGTTAATTTCAATATTGTAACTTGTTTAGTGCTTGTGAAAAAAATTGTTAAACAAATTTTATGTACCCCCTTTAAGGGGCTGTATCTTAACAAGGGATGCTCCAATGAAGTTTCTTTATATGAAAGATCCTATCTTTTTTCGATGAGGAATCACCCCCTTAAATGTTTTACACTTATTTAGTTACACCCTGTATACATATACCTATACCTGTCGCTGTTTGAACGTTCATTTAGCACGACACAAGATTAACACGTGCAAGAGGCAGTGCATTGAAAAAGAAAATTATATAAGTAACTTTAAAACTGTTGGTAAGATCCAAATAAAACTTAGGACATATTTTTAAATTATCGATTAAAGAATCTCAGGAATCAAATACTTACCTCACGCTGGCGGAGACGCAGGGGATAACTGGTTTTTCTATTTGGTAAAATCTAACGTTTATTTAAAAATACAAAAAAGGTACATCAATTATTATCTGTCCCGTCATCGAGGAAATTTAATTTAACAATAAACATTTTTATGCTCATCGACGATAGGTACAAATTCTAAACTGAAAAGTACTTGAAGTGATCACTTGAAGTAAGAAAAACATTAATGAGCAAATTGGTAATAAAATAGGTAGGTACATTGAATTTTGAAAATATCTAAGAAGGAATACCTATGTTTTAGCAACAATGTTACTTTTCTTTTATTTTATTACCTTATATTCTTATTTTAATTTATATAAGGTCAGCAAAATCTGAAAGCAATCTATAGCAGGATCATATTCGATGCAAAGTAATAAATCATTTCCTGTCAAGGGAACCAATGAAGTACGCTTTTAAGGGTTTTACAAGTTGAATAATTTCTTTATACATTATGAAGGGACGAGAGGATCAGTTCAGGTCTGGCACCCTTGTTCCTACAAAAATTCCTTTATTCTCATAAACTATTTATTTCAAATGTAATTTATTTTAAATCCAATTTGTTTTTTAAATTCCACATATGTACTAAATTTTACCTCTGTACGCGCCATTGTTGTTTACTTGTTTTTTGGAGGCGCTCTCTGATTTACAACCAAGCACGCCAGGTTAGTATTTGACGTATAACCGACCACTTCGTACACTCGATGCACCTGGCCGACTACAGCTAGTACCAGAACACAGTGCGTATGCGGCGGTATTTCAGATTTTACATTCAATTTCATTTTAAATTTGAAACGGTTCATCTTACGCCTGATGACACGATTTTCCTTTGATAAAAGACCGACAACTTTTTGCTCTACTTTGCATCGAATACGATCCTACTATACGTTTGATTTTTAGAATTTGCATTATCGAAATGCATAGAAACGTTTACAGCCATTTTTTTTTTTAAATCAGAGCCGACTGTCAACATCGACGACCATTACGTTTTTGTTTTTTAAGACGCTCGTTCAAAAAAGAAAACATTATTTAATTTTAATAATTATATTTTCAACTACCTCTTCTGCACCTCCGTCACTGTACGATGAAAAAGCTATTCATGAAATTATTGCAATTGAATTGATAGTATAAATACCAGTGCCAAGTTTCATTTGTTTCTGATCACAGATCAGTCATTTTGGTATTATTTTAAAAATGTCTTTTTTGGGAGCCCACCTTTATCGCTGTGGCTTTGGAAGAAATTTAAAATAGTTTTGTAGCAATAAGCCAATAAAATGTCTGATATCTTAGCAACCAAACTTGATTTAGTTAAGTCGTAGTCAAATTGTCAAACTGCATTTGATAAACTAAATAAATAAAGTTAGAAATATATATTTAAATATTTCATTATTAACATTAACTGTTAGTGTACGATTTTGTTATGCTTAAAGATAATTGAAGTTATTCCCATAATGAACAGATTCACAGTAAAACAAAATATATGACTCGTGCCTATCGCTACCAACCGTTAATTTCATAAGTTTACGAGGGCGAGGGACGAGTAAAGTGGAGAACACATCTAGGCGATCACGATCCCGATATTCTACAAATTAATTAATCAGTAAGCTCTTCATGTACATATTGCATTTTTAATTTTCTCAACTATGGCATTTGTCAATGGAAATTTAATTCAACTACAAAAATTTAATTTCAAGTAGGTACTTACATAACAGGAAGTCGGATAAGTTGTAACAGAAACAATTTCTTGCAAATATTCTCAAATTCGGTTTGCGATGTATCTCTAAAATTCTTTGAAATTTTTGTTTCAAATCGAGATTGAATTAGAGTTTTTAAAATTTTAATTCAAGGACTCGTTCATAATGAAGTCAAACAGCATTCTTTAATACCAGAAATCTAGGTATGCTCTAACCTCACAGATCACATACAAGATTGATAACTGCCGGTACTGCGAGAAACAACTACTCTATGGGCAACATGCCCCAACTATTTACTGCATTTACACACATACAAAAGGCAACAACTGTTGTGCATGAATACTTCCCATAGACTACGGAAAATGATTACAGTACTGTAAACGGTTTATAGAAAACATGAGCAATAATTTACTGGATTCGTCGTTTTTCACTGACAAAGTATGGTTTCACATATCAGATTATGGAAATAATCAACATCCATTTGTAAAAATCAGTTTTCATCCCTTAAAAGTAGGCATTCAGGTAGCGATATCAAGAAGACGTATAGTATCAAAGACCTCAGAATGACTAGACAAGTAATTCCCTATGCATTGCAAAGGAATTGTTTTGATTTTCCACAACTTGAGACATCCTGCTATTAAACAAGGATGAAGATAGTTCTTTGTTTACTAGAGAACTCTTAACCAGTGGCGTGTGTGTTAAAAAGGGTGATACATTTTAATATTTGTCTAATTTATATATACTTACCGATTTCACACCTAATTTGGTTTTAAAATAATGTTAATGACTTCTTTTTTAAATAAATAGAACCATGTTCGTTTTACTCCATAACGGCACTTACTGCCGAAAAAAAGTAATACTAGTTACAACAATCTTTATTTTCTCAGTAACAATATACATCAATATGTTAAATAATAC